TTTTTTGCTGCAGCCAATGCCAAAGAGGACCTTAAACTTCATGAAATTGCCCACCCCTCCTGTAAAGTAATAATCCTGGCTTGAGCAAGGTCTTTATTCTGGTCTAAACTCATTGAACTGTAATCCTAGATCTTCAGACTTGCATTTGTTGTCTCAGACTACTACACTGTACAGTAGAATGTTAAATGAGTAGAGCTCCCCCATTAGCTGCACAAAACTGGATGCATGTATGAAGCTGATTTAGTGCAGGCAATCTAGTTAACTGTTCAAATCTGAAAAGTTGCCATTAGAATGGAGAGACATGCTTTCCTTTTCTCCTTTGTTCCTATCATGCTTGCCAGGATATCTGATAAAGTTTCTGATAACAAAATGCAATGTTGCATAACAAATAACACTGAGATTTTCATCTTTTTAAATTAAGTACTAAAAAGTGTGTTTTGAAGTACTAAGTTTAAACACTCTTGTTTTTAATAGAAACCAATCTGAAGAAGCAAGGCCTCTTGCCATTAACCTTCGCTGATCCAGCTGATTATGACAAGATACACCCTGTGGACAAACTAAGTATTGTGGGCCTGAAAGATTTTGCTCCTGGAAAGGTAATAACACCATTTCTCCTTGTTCTCCTGCATGCATGTTGCGGACTACTGTATTTCAGAGCTCTGATACAGTACTTGCTGTCGTATTAGTGCCACGTACTATATAGTATTTGGAAAAGAATTTTGGACAACCTTAGATTTTGAAAGCTGTCAAATTTTAATTCTCTTAGTTCATTAGAAGCTTTTGATTGTGCACTTTGTACCTTGTAAATTGTACCTTGGCATGTCATCTGTGGCCAGGTGTTTCTCTGAGCTTGTCATTTCAGGTCTTTCATTCTGTACTCTAACATTTAATATAAGGCAAAATATTTGGATAATCAATACAATGCATTATTTGTTTTGGAAGAGAATTGGCCAATCCATTCAGTCTGTTCACTGGGGATTAATGTGAGGCAGCTCTTACTGCCCAAGCCCTTAGGAAACCATAGCTGGGCCTTAGCATCTACTTGTGCTAGAGCCAGGATTGCTCTTGTCACTCATTTTAATTCCCTGGCATTACCTTCTGGGCCTGATATAGGTTTACTCCAGAGGACTGCTATGTTGGGGGCTGCAGCATTATAGGCGTTACAAGCATTACTGTGGCTACAAGCATTACTGCTTTTGCACCTGCCTGCTTCCACCAGGATGAAGGTGAAGTGAATGGGTTGGTGCTGCTAAGGGGCCCACTCAAGATTCTTTGCACAGAATTTTTTGGGGTTTGCTACTATATTTTCTGTGATTACTTGCTGTCACTAGAGACTTGATTTACTTCTCAAATTGGGGAGTAAGTGGAATGAGTCATGTAGACCCCTGAGTTAAAGATTACATAAGCTAAATGGAAGTTTGTTTAAAATGAAAAATGTCATACTTTGATAAGAAGTGATGCACTTTGCAAAAACTAACATCTTTTTATAAATTCTTTCATAGTCTTGGATAATCATGACTTGTTCTATAAGCACAGCAATAGATTGAGATGTTAAAGCTTAGACCTCTTGCTTCTCTTAATTTCCTTTCTAGCCCCTGAAATGCATCATTAAGCATCCAAATGGGAGCCAAGAAACAATCTTGCTGAACCACACCTTCAATGAGACTCAGATTGAGTGGTTCCGAGCTGGTAGTGCACTCAACAGAATGAAAGAGCTGCAGAAGCACTGAGTCTCTGCAAGTACGCACAACTGGCAGTGGACTTGAATACTGTCTTCATGAAAGTGCAATTCCATGACAACTGTTGGGAATAAATATCTGTGATCAAATTTAACCTTAGCTTCCTTTTTATTACAGTGCTCACTTGCTGACATTAATTAAGAGCACTCTTTTCTGTATTATCAAGTTTTGGCTTTCATAGCTGCCTATGTTTTGTGCATTTCAGTTGTCCCATATTGCTATGTATTTATTTTCAAATCATTTTCTGCCCGATCATTTCAGTGATGGCAAAAGGAAGGAGCATCAGAGGATTATTGTTCTTTCAGAAAATAGAATAAAGATTGTGAATGACAAATCCAGCCTCCAACTAGTTTTTCTACTAGCATTCAGCTCAGCTTCCTAATAGACTCTGGGTGCAGGTTGTACAAAAGCCAGGATGGGTTGTTCAGGAAGCAAGCAGTATTTTTTTACATCTAACAAGTGACTTGATATAGAGTTACTCAGCTTCTATAGAATCATGACCTCATTTTTCCTAAGGTTTTCAGTGAAGACTCTGATATGGATGCATTTCCTTTTGTCTGTATGAAACAGACAAGCTATTAGTATGGATACTTCACCATTTTCACAGAAGTCTTCATCACTGCCCTTGTTCTATGTAACTCCCCACTTTACTTCCTTTCATGTCATGCTTTTTTCAATTTTAGCTTAAAGAAAAATGAAGGATTGCAACCAAAATAGCTATCCAACCTCTTCTCTGGCTGCAGCAACTTGAAAAGCAGAATCCCTCAAGGTTTCCACTAGAAAAGCCAGCTTTCTTCCTAGAGGACTTTTCTAATCTAGACTTTCTTGATGCACTACTGATGACCTTCTCTCTCACCCGCTTGGTTGATTCAACAACTATATATTTCACAATATAACTTCACTGCAGTTATTACAATTTCCTCTTGTGAAATAAAGTAGTTGGGGGAAAATCCTATTAATGCTTTTAAACCTGACATCTCTTTCTGGTTTGCTTTGACAGATCAACGGTGTAACCCTGTGGAATGAACCACTGTTAGCTGTAAATAACTCTGAAATTCTATGGTTCCAATGCCCTGTTGGACTACTTCTGAATAGAGCAGGAAGAGCAGTGACGTGACTTTGGCCTCTATGCTCCTTTTTTTTTCCTTTTAAAAATCTAGTTGGGCCTTTTGTCCCTATAAAGAAGGCATGCTGGTGGAAGTGGGGCTGAAGAGGTCATAGGATTCTTTATATCCTGGCTTCTCCTGTCCCTCCCCTAAATGCCCATAATTATACCCCCTTCAGACCTCTCCGAAGTCCTTTCAAGGCAATGGCAAGGCAGGAGGGATCAGATATCTGACTCTACCTTCCAAGGTTATAGTGATATGTAAAGCCTTGGAAGGAGAAATCCAAAGAATCCTGTGTTATCTGAGATGTTTTATTGGGATCTTAGGATTGCTTTTGGAGGAAGCCATTCAGTGCCTTCCATTCTGGATGCCTCTTACACACCTCAGATCAAAGGTTACAGGGGTCCAGTGCATGATGCAAAATGCACAACTCCTCATAACCGACACTTCATCTAGATGGCCAAGTTCTACAGCTAGGAAAAGGAAACCAGATACACAGTTAAAATAGAGGAGATACTTGGCTCAACAATACTACAGACAAGGAGGATTAAAAAAAAAAAAAAGCAAATGCTATATGGGGCTGCATTAATAGAAGTATAGTTTCCGAATCATGTGACAAACTGGTTCCTCTCTATTCAGTACTAGTACTAGTTAGGCCTCATCTTGAGTATTGTGTACAGTTCTGGGCACCAGACTTCAGGAAAGATGCAAACTGGAAAAAGTTCAGATGAGGGCAATGAAGATGATCCAGGGACTGGAAACAAAGAGGAGCGATTGAAAGAACTGGGCATGTTGAACCTTAAGAGTGAAAGGAGATCTGATAGCACGTTTCAAATACTTTAAAAGCTGTCACACTGAAGATGGCCCAGATTGCATCTCAATCATCCCAGAATGTAGGACACAGAATAATGGGCTTAAGTACAGGAAGCCAGATTCTGGCTGGACTTCAGGAAAAATATCCTGACAAACAGTACAGTAATGGAACCAATTAGCTACAGAAATGGTTGGCTCTTCCACATTGGTAACACATTCAAGAAGCTGTGGAGCAGCCCTCAGTCAGGAATGCTTTAATCTGGAGACTCTATTGAGCAGAGGGTTAAAATTGATGGCCCTATAGACCCCTTCCAACAGCATTAGTCTATGCTTTTATGAATGCCAGGGGGCAGGGCTGGGGGCTTTTTCCTGCTGACCAAGGTGATCTGTGACCTTGGAGAGATGGTCTCAGCTCTGAGGTTGGAGGACTGTTAGTGACAGTTCTCAAATGTGATGCAGTATGGAACCTCTAAAGGACACAACAGCCAAACCCCAAGAAAAGTCCATTACAAATGAATACTGTCTGCTACATTAGTAATAAATGACACAACCCTCCTTCCTATGTTATATTTACTTGACATGAAAAGGAGTGATATTGTGTCCCGTGTTGGCCTCTGGAGGGCAAGAGACAACATAATAACTTTCGTTTGTAGATGCAATGCTCAAAAAAGAACAGATACAGCGTTTCTGTACTGGAAGATGGGAACAACAGTTACCTAATGCAAGAAGCCAGTGGTGTAGCTCCTGTGAGTAGTCCAGATTCTGAAGCAGACTCCTCTTATGCATGAGTGACTGTCCTTCGACCTTCCAGGAGCCTTCAGTGGGGCCAGGCTTGTTTTGTACAAAGGAATAAAGGCCACCCCCCTCACCTAGCTAAGAAGAATAGCAGCCATTTCCTTCCACAGCAATGTAGCAAAGCATTACAGAAGGGGCAGCCGAATTGCTTCCTATTGCCCTGTAACCGTTCCAACCTTCTTGCAAACTGCAATCTGGAGACCATTCTGCTAGCACAAGGCCCATTCATTTGGTCAGGACTTGTGCCAATAGCACTTTGATGTGACTGGGTTGTTTGTACAACACAGTTCCAAACTAATTCAGGAAAAACAGACCAAAGTGAGATTGACAGTATTATGAAGATGGGCCAGATCTCTCTTCCTGTTGCAGCCTTTGTTGCTGGAATTCCCAATACTAAAGAGCCAGCTTGTTGTGGTCCCATTATCTTCTCAAAATGTATGAGAACCGTCCTCGTGCTTTACATGCAAAGGTGGAAATGGTGCCTCTAATACCGCAGCAAATGGGTGCTTGCCTTCACAGTACTCCCTTCCATGTGCTTCCTCAAAAAATGCTTCTCTGTTTCCACAAGAAAAAAACAGAATGCACCTGGCAAGCAGTCACGAAGAAATCTAAAGAGTTACTACTATGGATGGAAAAGAGAGTCTAAAAGCAAAGTGCATTTATATGCTGCTCTCCAACCACAGCACCTCACAATCCAAGCAACCCAAAACAATCCCTCATAATTCTTTCAGGACAATGCTGTACTGGCTCCCTGTTTTTCCTATTTTTTCCAACAATAATTGCCCAAACAGGTTAATGAACTCCAACATTCTTCAGAACTACTTTTCCAATAAACCCAATTTGCTGACCTTTCCCTAGTTTTCTCCCTAAGAGCATCCCCCCATAACTCCCTTTGCATGATAAAGGTTCTCTCAAATTTCAAAACCCCATGTCTATTTTAAGCTCCTAGTTACAGCCTCCCCAAAGTTCTTTGGGTCACCCCAGGTTGCCCCCACCAATTTTTATTCTTTACCTTCCCACCATTCAGTCTTATTCCCACATTACCTTCTTTATTCAAGTGCACATTATTCCCCCTGTAACCAGAAAAACTTTCACCCCCACTCTTCCCATTCTTATAACCCCACACTAAGTCCTCTTTCTCCTCATCATTTCCCTCATGATATTCCCCCAGTTTCCTTTCATGTTCTCTTCCCCTCCCACATTTAGACATTTTCTTCATCCCCTGAGTGCAAGAAATACCCCTGCTTTGCCCCCCTGCAAATTCACAGTGGCATTTCTATTGCCCTGTTTGGTCTCCATTTGTCCCAATACTATTTTATTTTATTTTATTTTATTTTATTTTATTTTATTTTATTTTATTTTATTTTATTTTATTTTATTTTATTTTATTTTACAAACACTGTCCCTGGGTAAAGGAATTTCCACAGTTTGGGGAGGAAAAATTATAATTTGGACAGAAGTATACAGATTTCCTATTTCCTTATCCAAACTAACCTGTCAAACCAACTAAATAAATATTTTTAAAAAATCCTGTCTTTCATAGCTGTTAAAAGCAAGTGTTAGCAAAAGGAAAGAGTGCCATTCTTACCGTCCTGAGTACCAAGAGTCTTGGGGATGAGTGGAAAAGTTGGAGGCACTGGAATCTGTGGAGGAAAATACATCACACATTGTTGAACTGCTCAGAGAGCTTCAACTCTTTGGTAGTATGGAAATGAAATAAAATTGTGCCCAAAACCCTGAGGATCTCAGTGTGCAGCTTGCCTTTTGACAGCTGTCAAGACAAAGCAAAATAAAAACCATCACCACCACCAATTTGGAGTCTCTTTAGGTTAATGTCCAGGGTTGCTGCCTGCTGTAGATTGACAGTAGGTACCCCCTATGGAGGGGAAAAAATTAATGAAACTCCAGAACTCTGCCTTTTATTACAAACACAGCTTTTTTAGGTTATATTAGTTACAGCTGGTCTCTTCAAAGGGGACTTCCTCCTTGCTAATCACACTTGTACTTTGTGATGCCGACAAACTAGTCCAGGACCATTTCCTATGATTTTGTAGCATTAATAAATGTCTGTTTTCTCTTAATTGGCTTGGTATTTCCTTAAAGTTTATCTTGCCATACCCCCCAGGACATTGCCCAGGTAAGCTTTCCCATTTCAGACCTGTGGAAGTGTACACCTCTGCATTTGTACAAGTCCTTCTAGAAAATTTTAAAGTTATTTTTGTGCACATTTGGAAGCATTTTTTAAACAAAAGAGGTGGCCAACCATTGACAGCCCCTCACTCCCAAGGTGCTGCTTGAGCACTTTGGAGGGGCTGTCACTGCTGGTGGCACAGGCAAGACCACCAAGAGTGGCAAAGAGTTTTTTGCTGCTCTTGTCGACACCTCACTTGTTGCTTCCCTTTACTCATGGTGGACCAGTCAGCCAAGTTCAGAGAACATGGAACGCCACCAACAGTCAAACAAACCATGCAACAGTCCATGTATTCTCAGGATGGTTTGTTTGCAAAAACCATCAAACCATCAAAAAAATTGCACTCTATAGGACATGGTCTGGTTCAGACAACACAACCACCCACTGCATCCTCTTACCCATGATGGGTTGTCCTGTCACCCCAACCTG